AAAAAAAAAAAAAAAAAAAAAAAACAAAAAAAAAGAGAAATAAAATAAAAACAATGTGCCATACATTTAACCTGTATTTACCTGATGCCACGAGTATAGTATTGAATGGTAAAGACTATGCTGACAACAGAACAAAATTACTGCTTTGACAAAAAAGTGTCAGATAGATTATTCATTTATGATTTTGGTTTGATTTTTAGAATTTTATTATGAAATGAGAAGAACATATATAGAGTTTTCTGATTAAAAATGATATATTAGTAAAAAAAAAATGATGTGTTTTCCTAAATCATTTAATGCTGGCCCCTGTAGTCCTCCAAAACTAGGAATCAGAGCCTACATTGATTTTGTGACATGAGTTCATAGTAGATGTAGAAATCTACAGTTGGAGAGAAAAATAAACAGCAGCCATAAAAATACACGTCTTGAAATTTGGATAAAGGAGTTCATGGCGTTATGTTTCCAAATGTTCTGACTTTGGCTCTCAAGCTATAGGATTGTGACTCTCTTATTCCATTAGGACTTTGAAAATCCTAGTTTGCTTCTGGGATTCAGGTTCTGTGTTGTTTGAGAGTGAAGTGGACATTACAGGATTTTGGGATGTGGCTGCAGAGGACTGGCAAGATGCATTTTTTCAGGACTTATTTGAATACTGTACATGATTTTTCTGTTTATCTATATGAAAGTTTAGGCTCAAATACTTAATATTTACTGTGATTAAAATTATTTCAGGAAGTTTTTAAGTGAGAATAGTTTTATTATAAATGGAAATTAAGCAATCTAACATTTAATAGTAATATTGAGTTTTTTTTAAAATAACTAGTTTTATATGATTATCGATATATAATTATACCTTGGTTCATGAATGCCTCTGTTTGTAGACAGTTCAAGCTTATAAAACAAATGTGTTTAGCAGAATTTTGCGTCTCTTCACAAACTGTTCATTGGATGACAAACATAACCACAACCATCTTCTCCCACAAATCCAAATGCAGCTATCTTCCCCCAAATCGTAAAACAAATTAAATTCATAAACTGAGGTACCATTGTATATATACTCTTTGCGGTTATTTTCAGACATTCACAGAAAAGCACTAACCAGAAGCTAAAAATCATTTCTAATCTAGCTACCCATAACTAGTGTTTTAAAAATGCTTTCCCGCATGGTACCTTATTCTAAACTATTTTGTAATGTGTGTTTTTTTTCACCTAATGGTATATTTGGGGATTTTTTTTGTTAGTGTAGATCTATAACTGTACTATGCAATATATAGTAGCCACAAGCTATATATATAGCTGTTATATTAAGGCAATCCTCCTGCCTCAGCCTCCTGAGTTCTGGAATTACAGGCACGTGCCACCATGCCTAGCTAAATCTTTATTCATTTGAAAGTTGGAAAACAATATCTTGTTTTAATCCTTGGTACCAAAAAAAAAAAAAAAGAAACAAAAAAACCCCCCAAAAAAGCCAATATCTTGTTTTAAGTTATAAATTATTGGTTATTAGTGATTTGAGGAGTTCCATTCTTATCTGGCTTTTTCTTTTATGAATTGTCTGTATTGAGTAATTTAATTTGTGAACTAGTGAATCATAGTAATATATAACTAGGAAACTGATATTGACTTGTAAAATTTTAAACTGCTTCTTTCTCAATTTTTTTTTTTTTTTCTGGTGCCAGGGATCAAACTCAACCTTGTGCTTGTGAGGCTGGTGCAGCACCACTGAGCTAAATCCCTGGCCCTAAACTGCTTTTTTAATACATCATTTTTATGGTTAAGATAAAGGCTGAGCTAGGGAGTCCAGCTCAGGAATGGAGCATGTGCTTAGTGTGTATGTACAAGGCTCTGGATTCAATCCCAGCACTTCAGAAAACAAGAAAGGTAAAGGTTGAGATTATGATTTGACATTGGTTCAATTGACTTATCACAGGTAATCCAACAGGCATTGCATCGCCCCCCCAGTTCAGCTGCTCAGTACCTGCAGCAGATGTATGCAGCTCAGCAGCAGCACTTGATGCTGCACACTGCCGCCCTTCAGCAGCAACATTTAAGCAGCTCCCAGCTCCAGAGCCTTGCTGCTGTGCAGGTGAGACTGAGATTAATAATTTATGAGGCCAAAATTGACATTATCTTCAGATAATTACTGAAAATGAATACACTGGTTATTTTTCTGAGTTCTTATTATTATGTGATTATTTTTCCTGAAGTAAATATTTTAACAAACTGCCGAATAGAAGTTATTGGGAAAAAAGTGATATGTTTTATGTGTCACCATTTTTTAAAACTTTTTTTTATTAGTACATGTTTGTTATACATAGTGATCACATTCATCATAGGGAATTTGTGCCTGTACATAATATATCTTAGTTCTTTTTTTTCCCTATTCCCTTCCCTTCTTTTCAACCCTTCTTCCCCTCCCCACTTATAAAAGTTTTGTTTCCATTTTATCCCTTCCACCCACCCACCTGTTCCCCTTCCCGTTTGAACATATTCTGTGGGTTACTGTTGCTAACTTTTGTCTTATTGCTTTTTAAAAAATTTTTCTCTGTACTAGGCATTAAACCTAAGCCCTTTGTTATTTTTAAGGCAAAAGTTTGAGACAGTCTTGTTGAGTTGCCCAGGCTGGATTAAAACTTGTAATCCTCCTGCCTCAGCCTCCCAGAGTGCTAGGATTATAGGCATATACCACTATGCCTGGTTTTTCTAACTGCTTTTTATCCAAATTGGAGAAATGCTGTGGTAGTGGTGTGGTTCTTCTGTGTTCAAAATTCTAGGTATAACACTGATTACTTAGGGTTATGTGACTTGTATTTCTGTTTTAACCAGAAGTAAGTTCACTTTGAAAATTTTGTAATTTATATTCATTTAAAAAAAAATCAAAGAGTAAAATTGTAAGGGGCAAATAAAGGAGGGATGTTGCTTTCTTCCCTTAGCACATTTTCCGCTCTTCAGAAGTGGTCACTGTAAGAGCTTGTATGTACTCCTCCAGAATTTTTCTGTTAAAAAAATACATATAAGGCACCTCTCTAAAATATAATTATATTATTCCTACTATAATGTTAATGTGATGAAACACAATAAGGTAATGTGATGAAATGCTGATTTCTCTTTTGTTAGTACATGTTTGCAATACAGGATAATAGTGTTCATTTGGGAAAATTGGTGCATGCATGTAACATATCTTTGTCATTTTCAATTTCTTTACCTCCCTTTTCCTTCCTCCCTCTTTCCTCTGATCTTCTCGATGTACAAGAGTCTACCTTCTGGTTTTCTGTCATTTCTTCTTTATTTTATTCATTCATTCATTTGTTTATTTATGTTTTTGTTTCTCATATAAGAGAATATTTTACTTTCTGAATCTGACTTATTTCACTTAGCATGGTGGTCTCAAGTTCCATCTACTTTCTTGCAAATTACATGATTTTATTCTTTATGGCTGAAATGTAAATTGCAGTGCTGTAAACATTGGTTAAATCCTTATGTTTTAAAAAAGATTTTCATTAATGTTGTACTATTTAAATAAAATTCTGTTAGATATAATCTTATATCTCCTTATCAGACGAGGATCTCAGTTGATTGAACCTGAAAAAAGTTTATTCCTGCTATCAATAGATACCAGCTGTTGCTGTGTCTGTGTTCATAATATGAGTTGGGAAACTGAAACCCATGGGCTCTTGATATAGCTTCGGTTTCTTGTTCATAAATGTTAGCGTGGTGATTCTGCTTCAAAGATGACAGACACCTGTACAGTAAAACCGATGTGAGTATAGCTAGTAAACCCATTAGTTGTTGGGTCCTGTTTTCAGCTTTTTCTTTACTTTTTTCGAACAAAATCTTTTTGGCCAAAGAGTAAGCCATGTTGACCACAAAATGAGATGTTTCATACATAGACCTTTCTGCTTTTTTGTTATTGCAGCTTTGTGTTACCTTGGTACCAGAAATTTTCTAACTTTAGGTTTTTACAGATATATCATAAAGGTCTTATATTTTAGGCAAGTTTGTCCAGTGGAAGACCATCTACATCCCCAACAGGAAGTGTCACACAGCAATCAAGTATGTCCCAGACATCTGTAAGTATCCTGACATTTTTTTGTATTAAAAATTTTTACATTTTTAATTGTTTTCCAAAAGTAAATTGTTTTTATTTATGAAGCTATTATTATTATTATTTTTTTGTACTGGAGATTGAACTCTTGACCTTGCACTTTTGAGGCAGGCAGTGGAACCACTGAGCCAAATCCCTGGCCCCTCATAAAGCTATTATTGTACATGTGTTGCATACTGTTTAAGTAGTAAATGCCTAGAAATATGAGAGTAAGGTTTGAGAGTTCAGAGTTAATTTGATTAATTAATCTTAGAAATCTTTTTTGTATTATTTTTTATATTTTTTTCCTGATTATGATTATTATTTTTTTCCTGATCTCATGTGATTCTAACATTTTAATTTTCATTGTAAATTGAAATATAAATTGAAGGTATATTGACCAAGTATTTACTGTGATATACTAAGATATGTTATGTCCTTGGTAGACATCCAAATATTTCTAGCTTTGTGTAGTGTAGTTCACATTTTAGAGATTATACTTTGCAGCTTATGTGAGTTACTTGGAACAAATTTACAAGTATCTGATGTTCAGGATGGGGTAATTTATTTTGAGAAAGAGTAAAAGAAAGCTATTTTCCTGTATTGTAACATGTACTGGGAAATTATGTAAAATTTCCTGGAAAAAAAATTTATGGTAATGGTAAAACATTTTTAACTTAATTTTGATATAGTTTTAAATTGCTACAATGATAAATACTGTCTACTCAGATTTGCCTTTTAGCATTTTACTGCATTACTTTTTCTTTCTCTCTGTAAATATACATACTCTTTTTTTCTGAACTGTTTACGGGTAAGTTGAGACATGCTTTTAAATACTTTGATATGTATTTCCTAAGAGCAAGGTTATTCTTTTATGAAGCCACAGTAAAATTATTAAATTCCAAAAATTTAACTGATACATTACAGTTCATACTCAGATTTCAATTGTCTCAGGTTTCTTAACCTTTTAAGACATTGTGGGCCTGATAGTTCTTTGTTGGCGGGGCGGGGGTTATGAATGCAGTATTTCTTAGCATCTAACCACTAGATACCCACAGAGGCTATGGCCTTCCTCCTTCCTGTAATATGACCAAAAATCCTTAGGACAGTACTGCCTGGGATTGAAAACCATTGAGTTATCCTAATAATATCCCTTTTAGATATTTTGCCTTGGTCCGGAATGATAGAAGTTTGATACTTTTTAATAGTTAACTCATGTAGAATATACTTTGTAGGTTTTAAGGAATTGAAGATAAACTTGTTCTGTATTTCTTTAGCTAAGGGTTCGATCTTGCTGTGTACATGTTGTGGTCAGCATAGTTATTTTTCTGGCTATTGGTCTGGCATTTTTAATTTAAACATTCTTTTTCAGCATGGGAGTATTCTGGAGTATAAACAAAATTAATTAAAAATTACTTATGACTTGGAGACGATACACTAAAAAAATGAAAAATTTAGGGTTAGGTAATGTAATTTGCTCTGAGCATGAATACTGTAGTTACGTCTTGATGTTAAATGTCTGAACTAGCTTGGCATGGTGGTGCATGCCTGTAGTCCTAGCACTTGGGAAGCAGAGGCAGGAGGATCACCACGAGTTCAAGGTTACCCTGGACTGTATAGTGCGTCCAAGGTCATCCTAACTACAAAATGAGACCGTATACAAAA